AGTTGTCATTGTTTAGCTGGCCCGGACTGGGTTCGAACCTACCAGCCTGGGTATATGGCCAGTGCCCTACCCACTAAGCTACAGGTGCTGCCCTTATTTATTTATTTATTTTTTTGACACAGGGTCTTGCTCTGTCATTTAGGCTGAATTGCAGTAGTATGATTATAGCTCACTGCAGCCTTGAGTTCCTGGGCTCAAATGATCTTCCCAAATAACTGAGAAAACAGGTATTAAAGTTTTTTAATTTTTTAAAGAGACAAAGTCTTGTTATGTTGCCAGTCTGGTCTTAACTCCCAGCCTCAAGCAGTCCTCCTGCCTTGGCCTCCCCAAGTGCTAGGCTTGCAGTCATGAGGCACCATGCCCCACCAGAGCCAAGTCTTAACATGATATTTGGAGCTTCTAGCTATGTGGTGATATTGGGGGCTTGAAATCTAGTTTTCAAATCTTGAGTTACTTGCTTACCAGTGAGAGTGAAGATTTTTTTCCCCCTCACACAGTAACCCTCAGGCCCATAACTTGCAATAAACCTAATATCAAGCAGAAATGCCCTGCCCTAGTGCCCAGCTTAAGCAAAAAGTCTTGCAGTGCCTTCACTGTGGAATGGGTTTTGATTTCTACAGTCTGTCATCCTAAGCTGTCAGTGCCTTCCACGCCTGGAACTCCGTAGATGTGCCTTGACTTCAAATATCCCTTTGGATTTTCTATGCCTTTTCTAGGGCCCACATAGATTATCTCTGTCATTTTTTTATTTTAGCTATTTCTTTTTGGCTATCTTTCTATATTTATCTTCTTTACTATTTGACTAGAGGTTATATGTTAAAATGACCTTCTTATGGCTTCTAAACCATTTGTACCTATGGTTTCTCAACCTGACTAAAAAGTTAATATACTGACCAGCTAAAATCCTAAGCTTGGTTGTCTAGGACTTAGCAGCCCAAAATTGAATTAGCTTTTTTTGGTGGTGGTGGTGCTGGTGGGGGCAACCACCCTATATGGTGACTTCAGATTGAGTTTGTATTCAGTTGAAGCTTCTATATAGATGCTGCTGCTGAGCTAAATGTAATTTTTACTTACTCCTGTGCTATTTAAAGTGTGTTGTCCTAACCAACAGTATTAATAACAATAACACCTGGAAATGGTCAGATTTGCAGAATAGTATTGAGTTCACATTTTTACAAGTTCCCTAGGTGATTCCTATGCAAATTTAAGCACTATAGTGAAGGAAGCCAAGGTCATAGGATGACATTTGGATGATAATATTAATTTTTATGATTTTTAGTGAATTTATGGATAAATCTTAAGTTTTTTTGTTAACTAATTCACTAATCTGTTTTGCATGAAATGACTGTTTGTCTTAATCTAAAGCTCTGGTTAAATATTTGAGACTGGCTTTAATTTGTGTTTGTTTTCATTTAAAGAAAAGAAAGGGGGCAGTGCCTGTGGCTCAGTGAGTAGGGCGCCGACCTCATATACCAAGGGTGGCGGTCTCAAACCTAGTCCTGGCCAAACTGCAACAAAAAAATAGCCGGGTGTCGTGGCGGGCGCCTATAGTCCCAGCTACTTGGGAGGCTGAGGCAAGAGAATCACCTAAGCCCGAGAGTTGGAGGTTGCTGTGAGCTGTGACTCTACGGCACTCTACCAAGGGTGACAAAGTGAGACTCTGTCTCTAAAAAAAAAAAAAAAAAGGAAGGACATCATTTCCCCAACCTGGGCTTGCACTTCATAGTAGAAACTTCTGTCAGTTGACCACCCAAGGAATGGTAACAAACTGAACAACACATGGGAGTGGTCAACATAAGGACCTATACCTACTGTACTGATATGTGTGTGTGGTCTATGTCTAGTCTATGAAAATTAGGGCAACTTAAGGTGGTCATATAGGGAGGTGGTCAGCTATGGAGGTTCCATTGTAATTTTATTTAATTTTAAAAGTGAATCACCTTTTTTTTTCATATTTAGTGATTGATATGAATGATAAAAAATTATATTTTATAAATAAAATTATAAAAGGTGTTTTAAAAAACATTTTGCTTAATAGAATTTAATATCTCTTCAAAACAACTAAGAGTATATTGTAAAAGTCTTACCACAAAAATAAGTAAGTGAGGTGATGGTTATGTTTTTTGCATATTGTTATTTAAGCATTCCACATTGTATATCAAATGATCACATTGTATCCCATAAATGTACACACTTATGATTTAATAAAAATTAAGTTCAACACCCATAGGTCAGTGGGTAGGGCGCCAGCCACATACACTGAGGCTGGTGGGTTTGAACCCAGCCTGGGGCCTGCTAAAACAACAATGAGAACTGCAACAAAAAAATAGCTGGGTATGGTGGCGGGCGCCTGTGGTACTAGCTACTTGGAAGGCTGAGGCAAGAGAATCACTTAAACCCAAGAGTGTAAGGTTGCTGTGAGCTATGATGCCATGACACTCTACCAAGGGCAGCATAGTGAGACTCTGTTTCAAAAAGAAAAAAATAGAATAAAAATTAAGTTTAAAAAATCTGTTAAAAAAAAGAATTTAATATCTCCTTTCTAAGTAATTTAAGCAGTTTTATTTTAAAGCAAATTGCCCTTTGGTTTTGTTTTTGAAACTTTTTTTTTAAGGCTACATCAAGTGAAAACATTTGTGGAAGCAGTATGCAGAAATTGTAGAAATCTATATACACAAATACATGTACAAATATAGTGATTCTTTCAAAAGTTTACTTTTCCATTTTTTAAAACCCAGTCTAACATTTGCCCATACTGTTTATTGCTGTGGGATCTTTCCTCTTGATCATCCCTGATTCACCTCTTGACCTTTTGGGCTGTAAGAATTTCTTATATGAAAATGATGTCCTGGGGCCCATGCCTGTGGTTCAGTGGGTAGGGTACCAGCCTCATATACCAAGGGTGGTGAGTTCGAACCCGGCCCCAGCCAAACTGCAACAAAAAAATAGCCAGGCGTTCTGGTGGGCACCTATAGTCCCAGCTAGAAAAAGAAAAAAGAAAAAAAATGATGGTCTAAATTATGTGTCTGTGGCTCTGATAGCATCAGTGACTTATTTTTCCTTTTTTTAGAGAGTCTCACTTTGTCGCCCTCAGTAGAGTTCTGTGGCATTACAGCTCACAACAACCTCCAGCTCTTGGGCTTAGGCAATTCTCTTGCCTCAGCCTCCCAAGTAGCTGGCACTACAGGTGCACACCACGATGTGTGGCTATTTTTTTGTTGCAGTTTGGCCGGGTGAGATTTGAACCCACCACAGTACATGGAACCGGTACCCTACTCACTGAGCCACAGGCGCTGCCCCTTATTTTTCTTTTTTAATGACTAGAATATTATGTTTTTAATGGCTAGAATAGGCATACTATTGTCTAACCCTACAACCTGAAAATCTAAGAGCTATAAAGGTAATATTTTATCCATTCCATAGGTTTGAATTTTTTTTTTTTTTTTGAGACAGAGTTTCACTCTGGCACCCTGACTAGAATGCCATGGCATTATAGCTCACATCAACTTCAATTTCTTGGGCTCAAGCAATCCTCTTGCTTCAGTTTTTCTATTTTTAGTAGAGATGAGATCTCGCTATTGCTCAGGCTGGTCTTGAACTCCTGAGCTCAAGTGATCCACCCGCCTCAGCCTCCCAGAGTGTAGAATTATATGGGGAGCTACTGTGCATGACCATAGGTTAGAATTTTTGATGTTGAATTTAATGGACCAAGAATATTTATTTACATGGTTTGTCTTTGGATATATTTCTAGGGATGTCCTTTAACTCCATTGCCTCCAGTTAGTATTGCCATTCGATTTACTTACGTACTTCAGGATTGGCAGCAGTATTTTTGGCCTCAGCAGCCTCCAGGTGAGTCATTTAGAACAAAACTTACTGAACATAAATGAAAAAGAAAATCTATTCAGAAATTAAAATTACTTAATAGTGTTCCAAGTGTTTCACATTAACAATATTTGTAACTTATTTTGGATATAAATTGCTGATTTCATTGCTTTTATTATTTTTTTCTGTTAAAAACTGTAGGTTTTCTAGAGATAGTACTACTTCATATTTGACAACTTGTCTTTGAAACCTGGTATTATTTAGGAGGCATTCTCTACTGTGGAATGTCATGTGCTGTAAATTACTATGTATTGAATGATTAAAACGTTTGTTTTTAGGATATATTACAATAAGAGGAATCATCATTATAAGCTGAAAAGAGACATGCAGAAAATCTTATAGAAAGTAGAATTTCAAGAAGAGGGCTAAATAAGTAAGGAAAGGAGAGAGGAAAAATATGTGTGTTTCCCTACTCTTGTGGGAAAAATCATAGAATAAACTTTCATCATTTTATAAAAATGTAGTTAAAATCAGTTTGCCTGCATAGCTATTGATAAATTGATTCATTCAACATTCCTTAATTATTAGCCTGTAGGAGGCCAAGTTATGCTGAGGATAGAAATATGAACAACACACTATCCCAGGTTCCAGAAAAGCTCAGCTTGATGGACATATATCCTAATTAAGTGGAGTTTGATTCCTGGGTATTTCTTTCACATGTGTAAATTATTTTCAAGTACATTTAATAAGAAATTTAATATAAACTTATAAATAATTGTAAGGATTTTATTAGCTTTAAAACATTTTTTCAGTCTATCTGTCCCAAAGAGAAATAATATAAATGAATATTTGTTATTCTTTCTTTTTGTTCTAAGTAGTATAAAGGAAAATAATAATTGATAGCATGTTGAGTACTACTACTGTATTATTTTATATACTACTGATAACAGTATCCATTGGACAATCTCTAGTCATTTTCCAGTTAGAAGTTTCAATTCTAACCTTCCCTTTTCTTTTTTCCAAGGCCACTCTACTATTAAGCAATTTTAAAGGATTTCCGAAGGTAGTGTGGTCTGCTGCTGATCTAAGAAGAAGCTTCAGAGCTAGAATCTTAGCTTTATAATTCTGATTGCCAATATGGTCTTTGTTAATATTCTATTGCCAAGTTTTTTAACAGGAATAAAAATATTAGCCTTCTCCTTCAGTAGATTGAAGCCCATAAAAATTCTTAACATTTTCTCTTATAAAGGGAAGGGATTGAATATGTTAGATAATATGAATCAGAGACTGTGCTTGTATTTTATAACCTGTTTTGAGTAATCTAAATTAATTTTATTTGATTAAATTAATCTACAAGATAAGCATTTTCTTTCTGAGAGATGTAAGTTTCTTAGAGATTGTTAAGTTTCTTTTTTTTTCCTTTTTTAAAAACCAAACATTTGGTTCGGCGCCTGTGGCTCAAGTGGCTAAGGCGCTAGCCACATACACCTAAGATGGCAGGTTCGAATCCAGCCTGGGCTTGCCAAAAACAACAATGATGACCACAGCCAAGAAATAGCCAGGCACTGTGGCGGGTGCCTATGGTCCCAGCTACTTGGGAGGCTGAGGCAGGAGACTCGCTTGAGCCCAGGAGTTGGAGGTTGCTGTGAACTGTGATGCCACAGAACTCTACCCAGGGGGATAGCTTAAGGCTCTGTCTCAAAAAAATAAAATAAAAACCAAACATTTAATAAACATTGTGGTAAATATATATATAATATAAAATGTGCCATTCCAACCATTTTTAAGTGCACAATTCAGGGGTGTCATAAAGTACATTCACATTGTTGTGTAACCATCACCACCATCCATCTCCAGAAATTTATTCATCTTCCAAAGATGAAACTCTGAACCCATTAAACGCTAACTCCCCATTTCTCCTTCTACCCAGACCCTGGAAATAATCATTCTACTTCTATAGGAATCTGATTACTCTGAATACCTCATATACTATATTTGTCCTTCTGTGATTGCTTTATTTACATAGCATGATATTCTAACGGTTTATCCATATCATGGCATATGTCACAAACATAACCTTGTATGTATGTGTGTAAACACATCTTATTTATTCATTTATCTATTGATAGTCACTTGGGTTGCTTCTTCCTTTTGGGTGACAAATTAAACTACATATTTGTTTATTTTAATCTTAACGAAAAATTTTATTTTTTATTTATTTATTTTTTTCCTTTTTCTATTTCAAATTAATATGAGGATACAAATTTTTAGGTTACTCTGGAAGTGAGAACAATGTAACTTAAAAGATTGTTTAAGTTTCTTTTTTTTGTTGTTGTTGAGACAGTCTCATTATGTCGCCCTTGGTAGAGTGTAATGGCGTCACAGCTCACAGCAACCTCAAACTCTTGGGCTTAAGCGAGTCTCTGGCCTCAGCCTCCCAACTAGCTGGGCACCCACCACAACACCTATTTTTTGTTGCAGTTGTCCTTGTTGTTCAGCAGGTCCGTACAGGGTTGGAACCCTCCAGCCTCGGTGCATGTGGGCAACACCCTACCCACTGAGCTATGGATGCCAAGCCTGTTTAAGTTTCAAGGACTGGCTCAAGGTCACATGGTCACCATGTGATAAAATTGCATTCAAACACTATTTGAACTCCAAATCCCATGTTTTCATTCCACACTGTTGCTTCTCAACTTTTAATTCAGTTAAAACTTTTGCACAAGGGCAGTGCATGTGGCTCAGTGAGTAGGGTGCCGGCCCCATATACCCAGGGTGGCAGGTTCAAACCCGGCCCCAGCCAAACTGCAACAAAAAAGTAGCCGGGTGTTTTGGCGGGCACCTATAATCCCAGCTACTCTGGAGGCTGAGGCAAGAGAATCACCTAAACCCAGGAGTTGGAGGTTGCTGTGAGCTGTGATGCCACAGCTCTCTACCAAGGGCAATAAAGTGAGACTCTGCCTCTAAAAAAAAAAAAACTTTTGCACAATAATGTTTTAGTAATAATTTTAAATTTACTACTTTATAAAGTAGTAAATGTGGTCATTGTAATTTTGTAGCTGTTAGAAATTCACATCTTGTAATAGTGTTAGTGATTGTGATCTTTCTTTAGTTGGAAAAGAGTTGACTTGAAAAAAATTGATCTATATTTAATGACTAATTTTAATAACTTTAGGTATAGATATTAGGTGTGATTTTAGCAAATATGGAGAACGTTCATAAGTCGGTAGACTTTAAATTTAGGAATTCCTAGTATAATATGAATAATTAAAAACCTCCATCTGTATTATTTCGAAGAAGTGTTTGAAGTGTTTCCTCAGGAGGGATAGAATTGAGAGTGATAGGCCCTCTAAATTTTCCTTCAATCTTCATGCACCATTCATAACGGAAAGGAATTTCTGAACTTTAATTAAGTACATTTCCATCTATTAGTAACTAGAATATTGTGTACTTTTATAACTAGTGACACACTAGTTTGCCATTAAGAAATTATTGACAGCAAAACTGATGAATGTAGGTTGGTGACTAAATTTTTTAATATTGGATAATTTTTTATGTTATATTAATCACATTCTTAGAAAATTCAAAAACAATTTTACAGAAATAGTATTCTCTCAAGTAATATTTAAGGACTGTTTCAAAAGGGAAAAATTTAGAATACATGGCTTGAGTGAAACATTAGATAAATAGGAAATAGCATGTCCATTTAACCTTAACGTTCTCACTGAAAGTCTCTAATATTTGACTATAATTTACTTTAACTTTCTACATGTATTCTGTTGTAAGCACTTTTAAAGTTATAATCTTCCATAGGGCTTAACCTAACTAGATTAGATTCTTTATGTCTCTGTTTTTTTGCCAAATGATGGGAAAATATTTCTTTTTGTTCAGATATAGATGCCCTTGTAGGAGGAGAAGTCGGAGGCCTAGAGTTTGGCAAGTTACCATTTGGGGCCTGTGAGGATCCTATTAGGTGAGAATTTCAAGCTATCATTTGAATCATGGATTATCTGGCTTCTAAAATTTATATTGATACTGATTTTACGGTGCTTTATGACACTATAGCCTGCTGAGATGAATGTAACAAATAAAGACCTATATCTGCTTTCTTCATTTTTTAATTTTACCTAAAAACTTTCTGAAGTTTAATATTCATCAGTAGTAAGAGTTCAACAAACTACGTCATATGGGCCAAATCTGTCCAGTAGCCTATTTTTGTATGGCCAGTGAGCTCAAAATAGTTTTTATATTTTTTAGGGCTATGAAAGAAAAAAAATGAATATAGCAGAGATTTTATTTATAAAGCCTAAAGTATTTACTCTTTGGCTTTTTGTAGAAAACTTTTGCCAACTGCCAGTCTATTACATGATTTTTCAAAATTGAATTACACACGTAATTTATCTACCATAAAATTCTCCATTTAAAAGTGTACAATTCAGTTTCAAGTATTTATAGCTGTATAGCCATAATCACTATGTAATTCTGGAATATTTTAATTGCCTCAGAAAAAAACTCTTCAACTTTTATCATTGACCACTCCCATCCCACCAATCTTCTCAGTCCCTTCAGCTCTCAGAAACACCAATCTACTTCTGTCTCTACAGACTTACGTATTCTGGACATTCCATGTAAATGGAAACACAAAACATGTAGCTTTTTGTGTCTGCCTTCTTTTACTTAGCATAATGTTTTTCAGGTTCATCCATGTTATAGCACTAATCAGTGCAGTAGTCCCCCCCTTAGCCCTGGGGGATATGTGCCATGACCTCTAATGGATACCTGAGACTGCAGATAGTCCTGTACCCTATATATGCTGTTTGTTCCTATACTTACATACCAACAATAAAGCTTAATTCAAAAATAAGTCACAGGCTTGGTGTGGTGGCGCACCCCTGAAATCCCAGAGCTCTGGAAGGCCAGGGTGGGAAGATCACTTTGAACTTAGGAATTTAGACACTGTCTTTACTAAGGATATAAAAATTAACTAGGTATGTAGTCCTGGGAGACAGAAGCAAGATGATTCTCGAGCCTAGTCGTTTGAGGTTGCTGTGAGCTAGACTGAGGCCATGCCATTTCTAACCTGGGCAACAGAGTGACATTCTGACTCAAAAAAATTTTCTTTAATTAAATATAAAATATATATATTATAAAAAATAAAAATTCTCAAAGTAAGATTAATAACAATAACATAATAGACCTATCATAACAATATACTGTAATAATAGTTTTGTGACTATGATCTTCCTCTCTCTATCAGGGTATCTTATTTGTACTGTATTCATACTTCTGATCTGTCAATCTTTTTTTATTATTTATTTTAAAAATTTATTTTTGGGGATTCATTGAGGGTACTAAGAATTAGGTTTATACCGATTGTATTTGTTAGATAAAGTCCCTATTATAATTATGTCCCACCCCCAAGAGGTGTGCCATACACCATGACCCCATCCCCCTTCCTCCTCCCCTCTCCCCAGTAGCTCATTCCTCTGCACCCCCTTGTATTAGCTCATCTACTGTTTTTATATTAGAACTGAGTGCATTGGATTCTTGCTTCTCCATTCCTTTGATGGTTTACTAAAAAGAATGTGTTCCAACTCCATCCAGGTAATGACCAAGGCAATTACTAAGTGACTGATGAGTGGGTAGTATACAGTGTAGATAGACAGGACAAAGAGATGATTCACCTCCCAGGTGGATGGCTTAAGATTTCATGCCACTCAGAACAGTGCACAATTTAAAACTTAGAAATTTTTCTTCTGAAATTTTCTATTTAATATTTTCAGACCATGACTAATTGTAGGTAACTGAAACAACAGAAAGTGAAACTGTGATAAAGAGGGACTACTGTACTTCATTACTGCTTATGGCTGTAAATGTGCCATTCTATGCATATACCGCATTTTGTTTATCCATTCATAAGTCGATTGGTTATTTACACTTTTTGGCCATTCTGTGTAACATGTTTTTTTAATGTTGAGAAGCATTAACTTCATAAGGAGGTGCTACCATTTGCTGAACCAGTTGTTTCCAGTTTGTTATGTTATAAATAACTCTACTTTTAACATACTTTTATTTTCTTAGGTAACATTTCTAGACATAGAATTGCTGAATCAGAGGACATATGTATAATATTAAAACTTTTGAATTTATGTTTTATTTTAGTGAACTCCATTTAGCAACTACATGGCCTCATCTAACTGAAGGGATCATAGTGGATAATGACGTTTATTCGTAAGTATATTAAGAGTATTACATTGAAATTTAAAAATTCAGTAATTTAACCCCAAGTAGTTATTAATTTTTCTTTTTTTTTATGTCAGTTTCTGATAAGGTTGGTTTTCTATTTTTATAGATCAATTAATATGTATTAGAGGTATGTTTTATGTTGCTAGTTTTGCAGGTGTGATCTTTAGCTTAGGTATAATAAATAATTTAAATCTTACTGTATGTTAGCAAAGAAGATGTCTCTTAAGCAGTGCATAATTCTGTTCAACTATTCATAGTTGGTAAAAAGCATTTCCTAAAGTGCTTTTAAGAGATGATGGTTGTCAGAATGCATAGAAATAATATTTGATCATTAGATATTGTAAATGATAAAACATCCATGCCCTATACTCCTTTATAGTGAAAACAAGTTGAAAATTTCAGTAAAAAAAGGAAAGAAAAAGAAAATTTCAGTGAGCATTATCTAGGAAGAATGTTGAGAAAAAAGAAGGCAATTTTAGTAGCTTCTCATGCTTGATGCAGAACACTAAGAAATAGGACACTTTTCTTTTCATAATTAAATATTTTGTATTTGCTGACAGTGATAGTAACATGAGTGTTCTTAATCAGATAATTTAAGAAGAAACTAAGTATAATCTTGTTAGTTAAAAAGCAGCCAATTTATGTTTTGGAATTTATCTTTTCTAAAAGTTTATGTATTATTTACTTTATTCGCTTACATAATGTATTGTTTTACATCTTTTATGCCAGACATTGGAGATCTTTGTTGCCCTTTTTGATTACTGTGTAGCATTCCATTAAGTGGAGGCACCCTAATCTGTTTAATTGAAAAATTAAATTGAAGGCTTTTTTGTTCAAGTTTCTATACTCTCATTTCTTTATCAATAGTGATATTAAAACCAGGTTGTTTAAGATAATTGCACATATTTGCTTGTTTCTCATTTCTTTACATATATATTTTTTATTATTATTATTATTTTTTGAGACAGAGTGCCAGAGTGCCATGTTGTCATAGCTCACAGCAATGTCAACTCCTGGGCTTGTGAGAATAAGATAATATCCTTGCCTCAGCCTCCTGAGTAGCAGGGACTACAGGTGCCCTTAACAATGCCTACCTAGTTTTTATATTTGTAGTAGTAACAGGCTCTCACTGTTGCTCAGGCTGGTCTCAAACTCCTGAGCTCAAGCAGTCTATACCCACTACTGCCTCCGAGAGTGTTAGGATTACAGGCATGTGCCATGGTACCTGAACTTTATATATATATATAT